TCCTAGACCCTCAACTCTAAACTCTGAGCCGGTTTAGGGTTTAGGGACTCTAACCCCTAGACCTCAATCTCGAAGCTCTGAGCCCTGAACTCTAAAGCCCCAAGCCTGAACTCCTAAGTCCTAGACCCTAAAACCCTGAACTCCAAGCCCTAAATCCTAACTCAAAATCCAAAACCTGAAAAAGGAAGTCTCCTTCCTGCTTGGCAACCAGGCCCCGTGGTACTTACCTAGAGCAGGAGCCCTGATGTTTCTTCAGTACACGCTTCAGGGCTTATGCTTTCATGCATTGCAGTGCGGCATCGTTGGGAGTGCTTTGGCAAAAACTTACCTTCCCCCAAACATCCCCAAACTAACATGGAACCCTGTATAGCCCCTACTTCAAACGACAGTAGTCTACAAAGGCCCCTTTCTCATGTTCCGTACAAGGGGCTTTTTTTCATGTTCCATGTTAGTTCGCGGCGGCAGGGGAGCAGCTGCTTCGTGTGGGGGCGTTGCGCGTGGTATAGGGTTTAGGGTTTAGGGTTTAGGGTTTGTTGAAGTTGGGCTTTGATCGGAAGCTGTTGCATGCTCCGTCCTGGGCATGGATATTCCTTAAGCCCTGGACTGCACACCCTCAACCTCAATCCCTAAACCCTGAACCCCATAACCCTAAACCCCATTCCCCCTGACCCGAAACCCTAAACCCCAAACCCTCAGGAGGACTGGGAAGCCTCAGGCCCAAGCATTTGAACATTACGTGAGCTATAGTCTAAACTCCTTAAAAGGGTTTTATATAGGGGATTATATAGGGACTACTATAGGGGATACTAAGGGGGATACTCGGAGTTTAGACTATAGCTCATGTTGGGATTCTGAGAGTAAGCACCTAAAGCGAAATGCTAGATTCTAAGCCTTGCAACCCTAAACCCGTCTGAAAATGGGAAACGCAGTACAATGCACCTGGCCTGCTGGTATTTCGCCCCCCGGTGAAAAGAGGTGTTGCCAAAAAACTTAACCCTAAAGTGGGCGAGGTATCAGGTCGGTACCTTTATATACGCTTCTATCGGAGCCGTATATGGGGAGCCCGGCTTGCATGGGGAGCCCGGCAAGTCTTTAAGGCCTGTGTAGGGCCTGCGTATATGGGTAGGCCACCCAACGCCGAACCTTAAAGCGCAACACATGTCCTCAAAACCCAGTCCAAAAGTTTAGACCCTAAAGCACTTTGCAGGCAGAAATGCAAACTGTGCGAGATGGCTTCGATGCCGTCTTGATGCGCCGCCCAGTGAGGATTAGAGTTTTCTCTCTGGGGCTCTTCTTCAACTTCAGCGGTCCGAGCTTCGGGCCATCTTCGTGAGGAACTGGTACACGTTGATAGCTTTGGGCATAGAAGCAGGCCTTAAGTTTGAGAAGCAGTGAATTCAGATCATCACCACCGGCGTTGCTAGGACGGTTGGCCTCCTAGCAAGCATTGCCATTATGTTGCAGATGCATTTGCAGTTATTGCTTGCACGCACTGCAATCACTTTGATTGCTCATTATATCTATTATCATGTCAACCACTGTTCAATGATTATTCCCATGACTGTGGCCCAAAATCAGCAGCGCATGGATGGCAAACTCCCAGGGAAAACGCCCTATACCCTCAACTCTGAACCCTACCCTACCCTACCTCCACCTGACCCCACCAGTGATCCCTACACCCTGAAACTTAAACATTCCACCCTGAACCCTAAACAAAGGTACTGCTCGAGCAGCGAAAATTGGAGCAGCCTGGCAGAAAAAGGTGAACCTAAAGAATACTTAAAAAATAGCGGGAGATTCCAAAATTCGAAATCCCTATAGGAGACCCTTAGAGGGGACACCTGCTCCCTTTACCTTGTTTGGCCCTGATATGGCATGTACCTACCCACAACATATCCAGGTGGTCCCTACATTAGCCTCCAAAAGCTACCGTTGCTTTAAGGGTCCCTCTAAACTAAAGCGCCTAGATTGCATTTTATATGGGATATTAGTCCCGAGTAGAGAGGAAGATGATATCTTTTGGGGTTTTCTAAGGAAGAGCATGATCTTACTTGGTCCAACCACCAACAGGGCTGCTCATATGAGGGTTATGAAGGAATAAATATAGAGATCATTAGTCATTAATTGCTTTGGGCAGCAGCACGCGGAGGGTTTGGGTGTTTGGGACTCCTTCGAACTGGATGCGGCTGTGTGGGGATCAAACTTGCCTTTATGTAATCCTTAACAATGACCCATATATTAACATAATCCCGTGTAGCTTCTGAAATTTTAACTTGTCTGCGAAATCCGCATGTGAGCTATACATAGTCCCAACTGATTAAAGTGGATTATATAGGGGATTATATGGGGAGTATTATGGAGGTTTTTAGGGGGAGTTTAGATTGTAGCTCATATGGGAGTTGATCAAACGCCTCCCTATAGAATTCCCAACAGGACTCACTGAGGTCCCTCTGTCAGCATTAGTTTTTCTAGGGTGCCCCCAAACCCTAGTTTAAACCTTTTCTGAGAACATCCCATAATATGTATCCTGAGTGAAACTGACGACTGACACCTGGCCCACCAATTGGGCTCTTGCACCCCCCATCCCCTGAACCAGCAACTGTACACCCTAAGCCCTGAACCCTAAACCCCAAACCGCAAATCCTGAACCCCAAGCCCTAAACCCTAAACCCTAAATGTTTGACCCCTAATCCTAAACCCTACAACCCTAAATGCTCAACTCCAAATCCTGAACCCTGAACCTTTAAGCCTAAACCCTAGCCATGTGGGCCTGTGGCTGAGGCTCGCATCGGACGGTTGTCGAAACTCATGAAGTATGCCGGGAACCCACTGTTTAGGGTTTAGGGTTTAGGGGCGCAGTTTGGGGGTTATTGTTAAGAAAGTCAAAGTAAGTTAGGATAATGAGGAAACCCTATCATTTACCATACACCCATATTATGGTAACTTCATT